CATGAACATTGTCTTTTCTAGCACCCCTTCCATCAAAAGTACAAAATGCTTCTCAAGTTTTTTGCTTTTCCTTCATATTTCATTTTCCCATTCATTCATCTAGCTGTGCCATGCTGATTTTTTGCTGCTGTCTGCTGTCATTAATTACAGCAGCTCCTCTCTAGCACTCGCTGCTGGCACCAAGGAAGGACAATACTCAAAAAGCTAGAAGTCTAGGACTGCCCACAGAAGCCATCAAATTATTCTGGAAATCAGATGGGACATTTTCCAAAAGCAGTTTCATGACATGCTTGGATTTAGCCAAGCTAGAAATGGCACCGGCAACATCCCTCATTCTATTCCAGCATTCCTGCTTCCTGTGCTGGCCACACAGGATGCACTGCTGCCTAAAATCCCATTCCAGCAGACTCAGCTTTGCTGAATGCACAACTTGAACGTCACAGAAAAGCAAGGTCTCCCTACCCACAACGCTGCCCTTGGGAACATGTGGCTGCCAGCAACATGTACAGATCCTGGTCGACAAAGACACTGGGGAACAGAGGCACTGCAGAGTCCACAAGCATTTTTACACCTTGGTTCCTATGAGCAGCCCTCTCTGGAAGTGCTTTAAGCCCATATATGTGCTAGCATTTGTGTACATCACCCTGCCTATGTGCTAGTACAGWGAGGTGTTCATTCTAGCGTAAGCTGCCACAAACGTTCTCTTTGGTAACTACTCCAAAGAGGTGGTTAAAAAAACAGCCTCATCTTGGTATCTTCATATAGCTGAAACCATAAAGATCACAAGACCCTCTTGAGACTCTGAGGTGATACACAGACCCCTGCAGAGCTCCCATGCAAACGCCAGTGCTACAGCTTCATAAGGTAAGTTCCACCATCCCAGTGGCATCACACACACAAGCGTTTGTGAAACCTGTGACCAGTGCCAACTTTCAGGCATCACATATAAAGACAAAAGATTTCTTGAGGTTTTTTTTGACAGCCAGGCTTTTCCTCTGCCCTTTGCAAAACGGTTGTGACATTTAAGCCACTAGAGTCTTAACCTAAAATAGCCTTCGATGCCTGAAGATTGTTTGGCCCTGTCAATATGAATTTAAGCAACTGCTTGCAAACAAATGACATAATTATTTCYCAAAAATAAAATGAGCTAAAGAGATCCTGAAAATGTGGGTATACTTCTGAATTTGGCTCTTAGTTAGGCTTACCAACAACCCTGGAGAAACAGCAGCGTACAAGCATGCAATAGAGAGCATTGCTCAACAGAAGGAAACCTTTTCATTTCCTCCATTTCTTCCTACCTTCTACCACTTCTGCCTAATTGTTAATTTGACATCAGCAAAACAACCGAAATTGGGCAGAAGCCCAAAGATGAGCTCAAGAAGCAACAGCCTGGCTACCACACGAGTTCTGGAGTACAGCAGAAAATTGGCCTTGTGATAGGCAAAAAAGCAGAGATGCAGCTGGATCCTTGTTAGCAGAGACAGTGTCCAGAAACAAAGCAGCTCCTCAAACCACAGAGCTGCTAAGGAACAACCAGAAAAGCAGAAATAAATACAACAACACAGGACTGTAAAGACAGATACCACAGGAACCCGACCAGAGATGTCCGCTATTTTCATCCTTTCCGTTTCATCTGTTTCTCTGGGGTCGTTTGGACTGGGCACTATTTGTGGAGACAAAATAAAATGAAATTACATCTTTTCATCTTCCAACTACTACGTAGGAACTGAAACGGGAAGAGGGACTGCATGGCCTTCACTTTTTCCGTTCTCACGRATGGCTTCCTGGGATGCTGGAAAATAACATAACTTCACTGAAATCCACAGAACACCAGAGTTTTACACTTTTTGTGGCTCTGACTCACTAGATATAAAGCAGAAGTGTATGAAAACAAAAACACACAGGAAAAGTGCTGATGAAGTGTCTGCTACCATAAAATTGTGCATTTATCGCATTAAAYGGGACAATTTTTTTCTTGGTTAAAATTTCTTCCACCCATAAGATTCCCACTTCAAGCTGAACATGTGTATTAATTTTGCATGTTACAGACTTCAACTGTCATTTGTTTTATAAAGATATGATATTAAGTTAACTTTGTAATTAATACAGCAGCTTTTATACCAGCTATAAAAAACAAAAACAAAAAACTTGCCATCACTTTTTTTTGTGGCTAAATATCAAATGGTTTTGAAGCAAGTCTGGCATTTGCATAAGAACTCTGTTACATTCAATTTGAAGTTTTTGTTATTGTAAAACCCGCTCCATTACACAAAGCAATTTGGAAGTTCTTAATCCTATAATTTAAGGCAATGAGCTATTGTGGGAGAGGCAGAATGGGGTGGATTCCATTTTAAATTATTCTGCTGCATTTGTTGCTAAACACAACTCTATATTACGTGTTAAGAAAACACTAAATATTTAAAAAGAAAAAAAGTGCCACAACCAGATGGAATTATCTGGCTAAATGGAAAAATAGCACCATAACAGTGGGAAAAAAAAATCCTGCCTTCAGTCTGTAKAACACCCGCAGCTGAGAGCACTGCAACTCCCCAGCCAAATAAAACTGAAGGGGAGGGCAGGGCTGTGTTTATTAAACGATTTTGGTAACCTCAGTTGCAAAATTCAGCTCATGAATGATCTGAATGAAGTGAGAAGGGTCAACAGCTGCAGGATGCTCCACAGAGGTGAGTGTAGGATTGAGTGTAAACTTACCAAAATCTCTCTTTTCCACTTGTTGGGGAAATAAGCTCACCACAAAGACAGCGATGGGCACACGGCCGGGCAGATACGCGAGGTCACACCAACGTGTTGGCTCTGTTCTGGCCCATGGCTCGCCACGAGCTCTTCCCGTAGCATTCATGTAAGAGACTGGCTCCTCGGCAAGGGAGAGGCCCTTCAGCACGGCACCACGCAGGGAGGTAGCTCGGCCCCGTTCCTCGCTGAGGGAGGCGGCTGGTGGCCGGCCACAGGCCCGAGSGCCAAGCTGGGTCTCTGGCCTGGCCGCCATGTCATGAGGCATTGGGGCAGATCTGCCCACATGCAGCTATGTAAGCTCTGCTCCCATTGGCTGCCCAGCACCGGTGGGCTCAGAAAGAGGCCAGGGCAGCCAATCAGGAGTAGCGGCTGTCCCAGCAGGTCTTTCCTCACACCACCTGCCTGTGGCGATGGAGATGACATGACGCAATGGAGACACAGAGAACACAGCAGCAGCAAGCGGGAATGAGGCAGCCGAGAGGAGTGGTAGGAGAGCCCCAGCAGCCYCCACACACTCCTAGCACCCCTTTGCCAAGAGATTCTCCCGGGGCTTAAACCCTGGTGTCAAAACTCAGCCTTGTCCTGCCTCCAAGATGGCGAYGGGAGGGCGGGAAGGCCTGTGCCTTCCCTCAGCCACCCCGGGGTTGCAGGTGCGCCCTGTGAGCAGCCCCATCCCTGGCAGAACCACTCAAATACCTTCCCTCAGTGAAGTTTACTTTTTCATTTGGTGGGGGGGGGGGGGGGGGGAAAAAGAAAAAAAAAAAAAAAAAGGGAATTCCCACACTCAAGGTCTTCTAGTTTGGAAAGTGGAAGCGTATAGGAATATAGACACACTCAGCAAAACTGACACTGCCAAAGGAATTTGGCTCCGCCGAGGCTGCAAGTACAGCCTCCCAGAAGGGTGGTGAGTGCTGGCCCTTGCTCCAGCGGGACCATGTCTTGGCTCCAGGAGGGACACAGAGACCAAAGGGAGACCCAAGGGCTTCACCTGCCGCCTGCTCCAGAGGGGACATGTTGCAGGACAACCTAGAACATGGCGTGACGGCAGGGGAGCACAGGCTGCTCCTGAGCAGGGCATTGGGACATATAGGAAACTAAAGCTTTATTCAACTTTGGTTTGAATAAACCAAACTTAAACCAAAAATATTTAGGCTTCTGCAATTGATGCTGACTTCCTCCAACACCCCCTCAAACTCCACAACTTTCCAACTTTAAAAAACAAAACAAAAAAACACTTCTTTGGAAACCCTTCTGGTTTCAACACAGTCTGTCTCAGAGAGAATGTTCCTCTGCACTAAAGACAGAACTTTCACAGGAAATAGTTCAGAGCACATGTTCCAGCAAAAGGTAGGTCCAGCACAGACTAACCACTTTCAGATCCGCTATTTTAACCCAGTTGCTGCACACTAAACCCAGTGACCTCCCTGAAAGGGCCTGAGCCGCATCTTGGGCGAAACGGGAACAACCACAARAAGCCAGTTGCTTTCGTTTGTACCCCTGAATAACCGGGAGARGCCCGCCAGGCAGGCAGGTGACCTCAGCCATGTGTTCCCTCACACTTCACTAAGCCTGTCCTGACCTATTAGTATCCGTGCGGTAGGGCGGCTCCAAGGAAAGCGCCTTCCCTCCCTTCTGCGGCCGCCCGGGTTTCACGGCGCTTCCCTGGTGCCCGTTCAACCCTCTCCTCCGGCTCCGGCACCTGCGGCCGCGCGGGCCGGGGGKCTCGGCGCGCTCCCGCCGCGGGGCATGGGCGCGCGCACGACCCCGCCGCCAGCCAATGGGACGCGCCCGTTCATTTGGCGGCTCCGGCGGGCGCGCGCGCCGCTAACCTGCTCGGCGCAGGATGTGGCCCGCGGTGACGTCAAGGCCAGATGTTTTCCCAGGCCCCGCCCCGCGGGGCGCGCGGCGACTCCGCGGAGCAATAACGGGGAAGGCGGATTCTCCTGTCACCGGGCGAGGGACGCGCCTCTTCCCCAGCCTCCAGGAAAAGCGGCACCGGCGCCCGCTTCAAGCAACAAGCTGCCCCTGCGAGGATTTGCGCTTCGTTCCCTCCTCTGACGTTGGACTTCCAATGCGTTCTGGATTTAGGGACAAGCTGGGTGTGATCCTCACAAACAAAGTGTGTTTTTCGTAGCTGCGTCGTCATCTCACTTCTACAACGAGATCTTAAGGAATAGGAGAGGGAAAGGTCTGCTTGCATTATCATTATTATTATTATTTTATTCTTTTATATAGAAGTGTTTTTTAAATTTTTCCCTGTCTGATTTTTGGATTTCTTTTTAAACTCATGAAAAATGGCAACAGCAGCCTACGTGGATCATTTTGCAGCCGAGTGCCTTGTTTCTATGTCCAGTCGTGCTATTATCCATAGCCCCAAAGGGGAGTCCGATTCTCAACCTGATGCAGCAGAACTGCCTTCCTCCAATGGAGACGATACGCGTGAAGCCAGGGAGCCTGGGAAGGACAATGGATCCTCACTACTTGTGGTAGCCAGCATTCTGGCAGATCTGAACCAGCACGTCCCAAACTCACCTGCTCTTCGGACAGAAAAACCAGAGACCTTTGATATCACAGAACAAATACACATTTCTATTGCTCCTACGGAGTTTGGGGAAGAAAGTGTGTCCTCGGCTGGTAAGCGTGGAGGAGGAAAAGCAGCCACACCTACTGCCCTGGCTGCAGTAACCGAGTCAAGTCCCAGACAAAAGAACAAGCGTGGGAGAAGCTGGACTGACCCCGGATCACCCCAGAAAAAGCACAAATGCCACTATGTGGGGTGTGAAAAAGTTTATGGCAAATCTTCCCATCTTAAAGCTCATCTAAGGACCCACACAGGTTAGTTACAATCCAGCCATAGATTTATTTGTTACAGCTTGGTATTAAAATGAGTGTTTTAAAAACAAAAAGAAAAGAAAAACAAAAAYGAAGTGGTATTTGACCAGCCTTACGGTCTCATCTCTCAAAACACAAGCTCAAGAAAACCAAACTAAATTAAAAAAAATAAAAACCCTCCGGGAATAATCCACTACTTGGCATAGAGTCAAAGCTAATGGTTCTTTTTTTATTGCTTAAAGTCACAGGGAATGGAGTGTGGGTCATCTGTGAGGATCCTACCAAGCTGTAATTGCTAGCTGCTCGCCTTCTTGTTTAGCACGTCTTCTACTTCCCTTCCGAACGCTTCTTAGCCTCCCCCCTTCAATTTCCCCACTCCTCGTTCCTCTCCCCAACCTTATATGAGCTTATTGCTTCTAATGCCAGTGGCAGTACTCTCAGTATTTTAAAATTAAATGCTCTAGAGTGATCTGAATGAGGGTGTTTCTGTTTCTTTCTTTAGCAGACATTTGCGTGAAGCTAAAGTAGGCAGTAAGGCGGTTGAGAGCCTGAACATGAGTCACAAGGAGACATTTATCATAACTGCAGAGGGAGAGGGACATGAGCAGCCTCAGCAAGGCTTCTGGCAGATGAGTAAAACTGACTTCAGAAAAAAACATTTGAATGCAAACACTAGCTTGTTTTGATCAGTGTTTCCCATTCACCACTTGGTGAACTCTCATCTGACCACTTTTTGGTTGCTATTGCATTTATGAGGCAAACACACATTAAAAACAAGAGTCTTGAAAGTTCTGTCAATTATATACAGCTGGTGGGACTGTCTGAAACAGGCCTCTGGGCCGCGTGGAGCAGGACAGCTTTCAGCCACAGAGGTGACGCCCAGTGAGTTGGAGACTGGTCTCCACGGGAAGCTCTGGTCACAGCGCTTGCTGCAAGGCYGGGGTGGGCACACAGACCAGGCTAGGTTGGGATGAGCTGTTCAACTAATTTCAGACTATTTGGAAGGAAGACTCTGTAGTCTTCCTTCAGAGAGAATTAAGAAAAAGACTCCCAAAGCTGTACGCAGCAAATGGCTGCTGAGCAGTTCTAGCTGACAGCCTCACCCATGCTCCCAAGTACCCAGCTTTTCCTGCTGCTTCCTCGGGTAGAGCAAGAGCCCCTCTGAATTAAGGGCATGTTTTGTTATCCGAGAGRGAAGAGTCCCATCAAGTTGGAGCATATGGGCGAACAATTCCCTGCATTGCCCAGCCAAGGGAACAGCATGTTCCTGGCACCCTGGGCAGCCTGCCCTGCTCTGCAGCCCTTCTTGCGTCCTCAGGGCTGGCACAGGAAAGGTGCTTCCACTCGGCTGGGAGGGAACCATCTCTTCAAATATTCCGCTTTTCCCCTCCTGCCTTCTGCTTCTGGTCTTTGCTGCTCCCTTCAGAACAGAAGATAAACTTGGCAATGTCTGTGGGCTCACAAATCAAATGGAGACCAAGAAGGTCAACTCTCCTTGCTGATAAAGGCAGAGGGCTGGGCCATGCCCGCCCTGCGGGGAGAGGAGAGGACAGGGAGCACAGGGCGGTGAGCAGCAGTGCTCGCTCGYGCTTGCTGGGGCTGCCGGCTCAGCCGAGTCATTCGGGGACGCTGGCTTGCTTCCAGGTTCTGTGTGGAGTGCTTTTTTCCCTTCATTTCTTAACCCTTTMCTGTATGTTTTCCAGGTCTGTAAGGCTTAATATATTGTTGCTGTGCCTCATGGCACTGAAAGAAAAGGAGAGCGTGTGAAAGCTAGAGAGAACGCAGAGAAGGGACAGGTTTTGCCTGGGGAGTGGTAGGACCCTCAGGGACTAGAGCTTCTTTGTTTTCTTGTGTCCTCAACATCTGTGGGGGAAGCTTTAAACAGGACTGCCAAGTTTCCCTCCTTGTTGGCAACAGGTCTGTGTCTGTGTTGATCCAGTTTTGAACGGACATAATGCCTCTCACTTCTCTCTCAATGCTTTGTAAGTTGCTCCCACTTCAAGAAATACCAATTGTGATAGGCTTGGAAAAAGAATTTTGAATCACACTGGGAGTTAAAATAACAGAACAAGCAGTGACTTCCAGGATTGGTTAATGTTTGTTTTTGTGAAACGCATAATGGGTCCTGCTGGTTTAGAGCAAAAACCTCGGGTCTCTGGCTTTCTAGCACTCGCAGTGTTTGCAAACGCCAGCCTACCCACCCACCATAATGAGAGCTGCCCACCTCACCAGGCAGGGCTGAAAGCAGCCCAGGTGCTTTAAACACTTTTCCCAGTAACTCATAATTCCGATTACCAAGAAACCATCCAAAAAAATCTGCTGTGGGTGAAATTTCTACCACATGCTGTATGACTGGACCTGCTGGTATTCAGGGACAAAGCTAAGAACAGCACTTCAGGCTAGAAGATACCCACAATAGTGCTAGAGATATATTTGTATAGTGCAGTTTATGACCTGCTCGAGAAACTTGCTTGTCCTTGTCTGCTGCAATACACGAACTAAAGGCCTTGCTTGGAGGAAGGGCAGACTAAAGGTTGAGGTTATGGTATGACAAGGAGTTACAGAGGCTTTCAAGCACTCCTGGGTCAAATATAGACCACATGGGTAGAGAGACTGAAAGCTGGTACTGTCATCTGGCCCTTTGATGCCCCATGTGACATCCTTTCTAGTTGGTTTAGCCAGTTTTCAGGACAGACGCCCAAGGCAAGAGCACTACCACAGGGGATGTGGATTACTGTATTGCAAGCAGAGGGAGCAGGATGGAAGGGGCAGGGAGGCAGCATCTGCCTTTTGTCCATAAGCCTCGCTCAGAAGACAGCATTTTAGAACAAAGTCCCCCATTAGAATTGAGCGTGATCCCCAGTCTTTTGTATGTTGAACACCATCAATGAAGATCTCAACCTTGTGACTGCTTTGTATTTACTAGCTTGACAGACCATTGAGCCAGACAGAAAATGTTAGTCATCAAAATCTTTGCAACTCTCTCCTCCAGCCTTCAAATTCTTCCCCTCCCCCTAGGTTTCTTTTCATATTTATATTCTCCACCCCACCCTCTCACTGGATATCCTGAGTTTAACATGATCATCAGCCACAAAGCCCTTGAAGTCTTAATGTTTACCAGAAGGTTATATTTAGTGTCAGTGGGTAGATTTCAAGTACTTATTTTTTTTCCTACAGTGATTCCTGCAGACCTCAAAAGCTGTGCTGTGATCCACAGCTGCAGCACTTCATTTGCCCCAAGTTACAGTGATTCCATTGCTGCAGAAATCCCAGTTCGAAAAATTTCCTTCACTCCTGAAAGAGATGCCTAAGCTTTCAGATTCCTTTCAGATTTTTGACTGGAGAAAATCAGACTAAATATTTACATGACTAAGTTCTCCTTAAGCAGCTTTCCAGTACAGACTCACTGAAAAGGTTTGGAAACTTGGGAGTCATTTGAAACCAGTTTGTCTCCTTTGATGCACCAGTGGGAGGAGAGAGAGTCAGCATAGAGCCCAACAGCTACTCTAGCAGCCACGGCCTCATCCATAAAGAAGAGCAGAGTCCAAGACCACTGTTTTGGGAGGTTGTAGAGAGCCTAATTTTTTTTTTTTTTTATATATATATGTTATTCTGCTGCATCCTATGACATAGAGAAAAGAAATAGGCTGGGCTTTGGACAGGGGTGCCAAGAATCACCTGTACTGCAGCCCCTGAAAGCCTTGTGGCCACTCAAGCATTTGCTAGCTATCACATTAGTATACCAGCATGCATGCAGAGAAAACACAGACATACATCTACTTAATTACAGTAGAAAACTTCCTTTGGAGCCTATTCCCTCTACTCCATAAGAGCCACGCTACAACCCAAGAGCAGACTTTCAGTCTTCCGAACTGAATGTGCTCGCAGAAATTCAGGTAAGATAAGGAGATGGGACCACTAGCCTGAGCTGTGAATATTGCCAAGATACAGGGAGAGCCTTACAGCAGACCACACACCTGTGGGCCAGCTATGGAGAAAGGAGGGCAGCGTAGCCCAGTGGCAGCCCTGCGCTGGCTGATGGAGCAGAGGCACTAAGTCAGATATGCTTTAGGTAGGATATGTTTTAGGTACCTGTTGTTCATTTTAATCTAATCATTATTCAGCAAACTTAGCTGAATTGGAGTCGTTAACAAAGACTGTTGGACTCAATTCCATCAAACCACTATAAACACTAAAGGGCAACAGTAATGAACCAATATAAAAGTCAACTTCTAATTTGTGCACTTCTTCTTAAGTAGTATACCTCTCTTGCATCAAGTAGATTTCCTCTAATAACTTTATGACTAGGCAATCTGAAGATAGAGAAATTCATAATATAGTTGGTATTTGAAGCAAATTTTTTGAGAAATAAAGCAATCGGCCTCACTCTAAAAAGGTGACAACAGCTTAATATTTAGGCTAGATAAATTGGATGTTTGACACATGTTTATGTTAGAAAAAAAAAAAAGAGTACTTCAGAGGAAGTAGGAATAAGGTGTTTTAACAAAAGGACTTTCAGTTTTAGCAAGTCTGTTTCTCTTTGCCCACGTTAATTCAGAGCCTGGGGCAAGTGTAACTTCTCTGGTAAGCAGAATCAAGATGCCACCTATGTGCCTACGGACAAACTGATTCCCTGGGGTAAGGAGAAGCAAGGGCACATAGCGGTGGAAAAATTATGCCTTAATTTTAGTACCTCAAAACTATCAGAAACAGAGGTAAAGCTTAACTGAACACCACGGACTAGAGGCTGGGCCTCTAGTGGCTGCCCTTGGCTTGCCCAGAGGCACCAGCAACAGCAGGAGCGAGTGCACCAGTGCGCCCAGGAGACCGGCCCCGCACACCCGACCACCAGCCGCACAGCCACCCAGGCTAGCRGGAAGGCCTGCGCTGCCTCTAGGTCACCGCACCTTACAGAGCACTTGTAATGTTTCCTACCTTCCCTCGTTGCCACATGTGCCCAAGTCTTTCCTCCGGAGCCTTTTCTGGAGACAAACTCAAACAGC